AAAAAAAAAAAAGGTTATATTCATGCTTAAATGCTAGATTGTCCAATAATACATAGCATTTATTCTAAATTCCAATAGGTTTCCAAAACGACTGGCCATCTTCAGTTAATACAATGTCATCTTATTCATATTTTAGTATAATACCTTTCTACAAACTAGCTAGACTTCTCATTACCATAATTGCATGATAGCATAGAAAATTCACTATTGTCACTTTAAGCTTATAGAAACATGCTCAGCCTGCCCAAAACTATTATAAACTTAAAAAAAAATTATTATAAACTTAAATCTTTCTTTAATTATTGAATTCACTTTTTAAAAATCAAACATAGGCAGGCACAGCTCAAGTCAGTAATCCTAGCACTCTGGCAGGCCCAGGTGGGTTGATAGCCTAAGCTCAGGAATTCAAAACCAGCCTGAGCAAGAGCAAGACCCTATCTCTACTAAAAACAGAAAAACTAGACAGGCATTGTGGTGGGCCCCTATAGTCCCAGCTACTGGAGAGGCTGGGGCAAGAGGATCACTTGAGCCCAGGAGTTTGAAGTTGCTGTAAACTATGACACCATGGCACTCTACCTGGGACACCAGAGTGACACTTTGTCTCAAAACAAAAAATTGTATATATAAAATAAAATAAAAATAAAATATAAAATTTCCCTTGGTAATGAAGGCTATAATGTCATAATTGCAAAAAGTGTGGTTTTCTACAATTCCTCCAAAGAAAAAGGATATGAAGAGAATGTAGACAAATATATGATCTACCAACCCTAATATGTAATTTTTAAATAAACAAATTGACAAAAACTACATTACCACACATCTGTTATAATAATGAAAACAAAGAAGCAATTCTGAAGTCCCATTGCCCCTAAGGTTGTCCAACTTAGTCTAAGAACAGAGGAACACCTATAAAGCTGAGATTCAGTTCACTGGTCTATCTCCCCAAAAACCTCAACTGCTGAAAACATGTCTTTCATAGTTTTCCCTTATGGTTAGTTAGTTTTATATTGCATTGTGTTTTCTGCAATAGTACAATAGGATAAATTAACATGATAAAATGTAGAAATGTCAAAATGATGCCAGTTAGTATAATGATAGCAGTTTTTGTAAGATTTAAAAAGTAATTTATAATTTAGGATTTTAAGATTCCATTCTTTTAAGCAAACACCTTAATCATCAGTTTATTTCTGGGGGATTTAATATATCAGCTTATCAACATAAAAAAAGTATTTTTTCCCAGACTTTCCAAGATCTCTAGTATCTCATCTTTACTAGAAAGCCTATCTAATGTCAGCCAATTTGCAAACATCAATTTTAAGATTACAGCTTTCAGTAAAAAAAGAAATTAAAGTTCACTTCAAGTATTTCCATTGTTATAGATTGTAAAGACTACTGAAGAATTAAGAAATGACTGACATGGAGGGCTCCATTTTGCCATCAATCACATACTGCATGCACCAGTTTTCCCATAACTTTAATCAATAGATAGACATAATAAATCTATCATCTAAAGTACTCAAATTCATTACTCCATCTTTGTGAAAACTTGACACCTTGGTTTATATCACATATTTGCAAACTAAGTATGTATTCCACTACAAGGATAAGAACAAAGAAACTAAAATAAACAGCTTTTCAAGTTTACATTTTCATCAAACAAGAAAACAAGTACATGGGTGCTTCTACCATAAAACTGCTAGGGTCAATTTTAATATCACTAGATCTTCAAGTGATTCTTCAAAATGTGCAGGAGAATCTTTACTGTTTCATAAACAATTATCTGGTACTTAACATTATAATTGACTCCAACAACTAAACCCCAAACAAAAGCACATTTAACAGCAGATACTACGTAAACAACTTTTTTTTAGTTTTAGATTAATATAAGGATACAAACAATTAGGTTACATTGTTTGCATTTGTTAGATGAACCCCAAGCTGTAGTTGAACCCATTACCCAGGAGGTGTGCCACAATGCCCTTACATTGCATCCATTAGGTCAGAGCACACTAATGCCCCTAAATAACTTTTAATGATAACAAAAAATACTTCTATTACCTACGTAGATAGTCTAATAAACATCCACCGGTAAGTATTGTTTGTCCTAGAACCATGGAAAATAAAAAATCCAATAAGAAACCAAAGAAATTATTCAATTTTATACTCTTATTATAATTAAATCCATTGTAATAAATTAATTTCACATAAAAGCATTTTTTAAGAAAAAATATCAGTTTTTCCAAGTCTTCACTTTTTCCATAATAATATTTTCATGATCTTAAAGCTTTATATTTGATAATTTTATGAGAAAACGCAATAACAAGAGCAGTAAATAATGAATTTATTTAAAAAATTATTTGTTTCTAATGAAGAGGCTAAGAAACAAATCCAATGTTTTGGAGGTTATTTAAAGTACTTTAAGACAAACCTGACAAAAATCTGACCACAGAAAATAATTTTCATCTCTCCTGATACAAATATATTTTCTATTCAAATATTCCTATATACAACACATTTAATGTAAAGAGATAATAATAACCATCTAACCTTTTTTTTTGAGACAGAGTCTCATTCTTTTGCCCTGGGTAGAATGCTATGGCATTATACCTCACAGCAACCTCTAACTCTTGGGCTTAAGCAATCCTCTTGCTGAATTCAGCCTCCCAAGTAGCTAGGACTACAGGTTCCTGCCACAACACCCAGCTAGTTTTTCTATTTTTAGTAGAGACAGGCTCTCACTCTTGCTCAGGCTGGTCTCAAACTTCTGAGCTCAGGCAATCCACCTGCCTCAGGCCTCCCAGAGTGCTAAGATTACAAGCCTGGTCTATGGAGCCTGACCCATGCTCTAACATTTCTGATAATTATTTGTAAGTGTCATGAACTGTGCTAAATGCCTTGCATTCATATTAATCCTAACAGCAATTATAAACTTCTTTATGTATGGGAGTTTGAGGTATAAAAAAGTTAAACAATTTACTAAAACCCACACAATGACACAGACTCAAATCCGTCAAAACCCATATCTTATTTCTGTATCACTATGTAGCAGATCCTCAAAAAAACATTGTTTCATTCAACATTTCACTGTAACATTAATGAAGAAACACTGCTTATATAGAGTTTGCATGTCTGTATGGGTGTACAGGGTACTCCAGTTTCCTCCCACATTCCAAAGATGTGCACATTATATGAACATGTCTAAATGGATCCAGAATGAGCGAGCATGGGTGTGGCTGTGCCCTGCATGGAATGGCATCTTGTCCAGGGATGGTTTGTTGCCTTGTGCCCTGAGTTGCCAGGATTGGTGCCAGCTCCCAGCAGCCCTGAGCGGGAATAAGCAGGTTGAAAAATGAACTAATGAATAAATAGACACAGATTAGGATAAAACCAAAATCTATAAAGTGCACAGTAATCATACAAATGAACAACAGTGCGGGATGAACATGCTCAGCAAGTATGCCATGTTGACTGTTGTTTGGTTCTGAGCTGCACGATGGCAGGAGGTGCTCTTTAAATTCTTCACTTTGCAGACACTCCTTCATTTAACCTACCACCACTATGACTGTCATCATTCACTGATTCATCAAACACTGGGCAAATAATTATCTTACTTATTTTTATTAATCTTAAATGTGTGTTTAGTTCATACCATTTCAATGTTTAGTATTAGAAATATTTTGGGTCTTTATTTAGATGTTTAGTAATGTTTTTGTGACCAGAAATATCCCATAACATAAGAACTTAACTCTTGTTTGTATCAATTAACCTATGGTAAATTGGTTTCCTTACACATAGTTTGACTTAAAGTTATAGTTACCAGGAATCTACCAAAAACTTAAGTAAGGATTTAATATCACTGTATATAAAGTATACATGGTAGCTGGCACAATGCCTCACACCCAATAAGAACAAAAGAAAAATAAAACTTTTATCACAGTGTTTATATCTTCTTTACTTACTCTGTGATAATTCTGGATTTCCCTTTAGATTCATCATCTTTGGAATTGAAGGGCCATACACATCCACATCTAACAAACCAACGGCCTTTGACTATAAAAAAAAAAATAAAAACAGAATTTACCATAACATTATTCCCACTCTTGACTTGGCACCCATAGCTCAGTGGCTAGGGCACCAGCCACGTATACCAGGACTGGTGGGTTTGAACCAGCCTGGACCTGCTAAACAATGACAACAACAACAAAAAAAAATAGTCAGGCATTCTGGTGGGTGCCTTGTAGTCCCAGCCACATGGGAGGCTGAGGCAAGAGAATTGCTTAAGGCCAATTCATGAGCTGTGATGCCACAGCAGTCTACTGAGGGCAACACAGTGAGACTCTGTCTCAAAAAAAAAAAAAAGAAAAATTATTCCTACTATTCATCGAAGATGAAGCACATAGCAACAAGAATCTGACTACAGAAAGGAATATTTTAAAAATATTCCAAAATCATAACCCAAACTTTCAAAGTAAGTAAAACAGCATAACTTGGGGGTAAATATTTTCTATTGATATACTGATATCTTCTAGGTAATTGACTAGAGAAAACCACCCCATATGCTTTACATATATATAGTTCAGGTCTCCCATGTAGTCTCCAGTAAACTAAGACCTTTTTCATCTTAGCATGATTTTGAGAACTAAAAAATTACATATAAAAAGTATCAAAATAATGACTTACAATGGCAAACAAAACGCCAAAAAGATGCTTTTGGAAAGCCCATCAAACACATGAAAAAATATAACAAGAAAAAATATCACAGAAACAAGGCCACGATAAAGCAAGAGAGAAATCTGACAGAGATCTGGCATCAATGAGATGGACAAGCTAACAAGGATACTACAGGCAGACATAACACAGAGACAGTGTCTTATATACAAGTCACAGTTAAACACCCAAAGTCTTCCGGAGGATCTGTAAACAACTAAAACTGTTTTCTCAGATGATACATCCAGCTGCCAAAGGGCAAAATACCTGCACTGGTCTCTTCACTAGCTGCCAGTTCATCAGCAGCTTAGCCAAGGAAAGTAAAACAAAATTCACTATCCCCAAACTCTTTTCTTTTCTATTCCCCTCTCTTCTTTCTCCTTTGAATATAGCAAGCCAATCTATTATTCATTTTTCTCATATACAAGTAAACAGAATACTTACACTATCTACCTTAGAGTCATGTTTCACCAAGACTTACAGCTCTCCTCCTGCTCTCTTCATACCCTGGCAGAATAAAATTCTTAACCTCTCAACAAAGGTTTTAAAAACTGAACCAATCCCTCACCTTCCATGTTACCTACCTATTTACAAATACAAAACTACATTTTAAAACTTGTTGTCTGGTTTCCATGAATACACAAAATAAAGTAAACTCCACTGGCGGGGCCTGTGGCTTAGCGGGTAGGGCGCCAGCCCCATATACCAAGGGTGGCAGGTTGGAACCCAGCCCCGGCCAAATTGCAACAAAAAAATAGCCAAGCAGGGTGGCACCTGTGGCTTATAAGGGTAGGGCGCCAGTCCCATATGCTAGAGGTGGCAGGTTCAAACCAAGCCACAGTCAAAAACTGCAAAAAAAAAAAAATAGCCACACATTGTGGCGGGGACCTGTAGTCCCAGCTACTCCGGAGGCTGAGGCAAGAGAATCTCCTAAGCCCAAGAGCTGGAGGTTGCTCTGAGCTGTGATGCCATGGCACTCTACCGAAGGCTATAAAGTGAGACCCTGTCTCTAAAAAAAAATAAGTAAATTCCACATTCATGGTCCTACCTCTACAGTTCAACAAAAACCATTTAATATCTCTACATGGCTAAGTATCCTCAGAGGAAAACAATGGAATTGATATTAGCCTATACCAAATGTCAGCTTACTTAAAATAAATAAGAAAATAGGAAGGATACTTTAAATGGTGATTTATAAAATTTAAGCTTAATACATTTAGGTACTGGCTTTCAAACTGTTGGAACATTTAATGAAAAATTGTGACCCATTTAACTTTATTTTAAACCACAAACAAAAATTTAGAACTAAAATTAAATTTACTACATATAAAACAAAATTTTCAAATAAGTATTCCTAAAACCTTTAGAAATGTGGCTAATTGTCAATACTGTTATCCAAAGGTCTGCTAATAACCTATTATGCTAGAATTTTGCCTCTTTTTTGTATCTTTCCTATGACATAAAAACTAAGAATTACTGCAAAATAATAATACCAATAAAAACAAAAAATACTTTAAAATTGTTTTTCTTTGTTCTTTTATTTATATCAATGTTGGTTTTACAATAACCTGAAGGGGTTAGGTCCCAAGTTTCAAACTGATCCTCTAACAAAACCTGCCAAGTAACATAACTTAGCTTTTTAAATTTGTGTTTTTATAAAATAAGAACATAACTAAGTGATCTAACTAATAAAAGATTGCTAGAGTCAATTTTTTTTTTTTATTGTTGGAGATTCATTGAGGGTACAAAGAACCAGGTTACACTGATTGCAATTGTTAGGTAAAGTCCCTCTTATAATTGTGTTGCTAGAGTCAATTTTATCATCAATACAAGTTTCCTTCAAACTGTTAGAGAAAATCTATCCTCTATCCCACCTTCTAGAAGAAAACTAAGCCTGCTTAAAGATGAACTCTTGGCACTATAGTCTTAAAAAAAAAAAAAAGAAAGAAAGAAAAAATGAAGAGATACCCTAACATTTGTTGTGGTTCAGAGTGGATTTTACACATACCTAGATGGCTACCAATGTACATTATTACATAAAAATAGAGAGAGGGATCACAAGATTTTAGAGTTCCTTTGCTTCTTAGAGAACGGAAGTAATAACAATTGAGAATTTTGTATGTATTAGGTTCTCTCTCTTAAGGAGTAGATTAGTGACTGACCTAAATTTAGTCCCAATACTTGCATATATCAGAAAGAAAACAAAAGGAATGAATGTATAAAGGGGGGAAAGGAGAAAGAGAATGTATAAAAGGGGAAAGGGAGAAGGGGAGAGGGATAAAGGGAGGGAAGCAGAGAGGGAGGAAATTAATCAGCAATGTTATATAAAAGACCCTGCATAAACTAGGCTCTATGGACAAATATGAATCTTTAAAAATACATCCTAAATCACCCAGATGCCAAGACTTTCCCTGATGATATCTCTCTACTACTTTAATTCTCTCTGGGTGCCTGGCACTCAGCTAAGCATTTTATTTACAATTCTTATTTATTCCTCACAGCAATAGTACAAAGTGGTATTATCCATACTTAAGAACAAGAAAGCTGGAAACTAACACTCAAAATGGCCATATTTCAAAGTATTCTTTCTTAGAATGAAGTAGAATGTGATACTAAATACAAATATACTAACACCATAAACCTCCACCAGAACTTTAACAGAATCTGACACAAAAGACAAGGGCCAAAAAGTAAATATCTTAAGTCCTAAGGATCAAATGATTTCTGTGGTAACCACTCAATAGTACCATCATTTGAAATGCCCTGTAGCATGAAAGCAGCCATAAACAACATGTTAAGTGAATTAGCATAGCTGTAACCTTTCTGTAAACCTTACAAAAACAGGCAGGATATGGTTTACAGATCACAGTTTGTCAACATTCAATCAGAGAATAAACTTGTTCATGATCAAGTTATTCAATCATCTAACAACATAATCTTGGTAAAGCCAAGAGCAGGCAAGATAGAGTCATCTCTTTCAGTGTCAGAGGCACAATCTCAGTAAAGACTTATTTTCTCATCCTTAATTGGTTAATTTTTAAAAATAAAAAGAAGCACACATTTCACACAATTTGGAACTAAGTGAGCACGTCTTGCTTAGATTTTATATATCATAAATAAAATCAGTATCCATTAACAGAAATACCAAAGCCTACATGAATTAAAGTATATTATACCTACACTTGGCATAGCTATTAGACCAGTATAATTATTACTATAAAAACAGATTTAAAACAGATTTCCAAGTCTAAAATTCAATAATGTTCAAAAGATGCCAAATAAACTTCATGTGTTTTTCATAATTTACTCCAGTATTTTTAAATAAGCTATTTTAAGTGTATAAATAATCTTTCAATTTAAACTTCCAAACAGAGAGTTTTATACTGTTTAGAAAATAAATGACCAAGGTAGAAGGCTATAAATAATAAATGTATGCATCTGGGTGTCTGACTAGATAAATTTTATGAATCGTTTTTCAACTGACTCTTCCTATAATAATTATATTTAGTCAAGAAAGGTCCAATTAAGATCTTCTTCAATTTCAGCCAGACTCAAAAGAATAATCACTACTAAGGCTTACCAAATATACTACAGATAAAAGAAAATTACTATTAGCAAAAATACCTATAAACTTGCTATTGTAAAATGTGACTGTCATCTTTAATGTCACATAAACTTAACCTAGTATGTTGGTATCTAACGATGTACTCTTTTCCTCATGCTCCTACAGTACTCAAAACCTGACAGACCAAACTCTAAGATACAATTTAGATTTTTGGAATTGTTTCTTTATAATTCATAACACTGTGTGAAAGCTTAAAAGGTAGAATTACTCACAGTGATTACACTGTTTCATTACTACTGCATGAAAGCTGCAATTTGAAAGCCTCCAAGTCCTATTTTTTTATGTTGAATTTCAAAGACACCAACAACAGTTTTGATAGTCCTTTGTTCTTCCTACAGAATTTATACTAAGTCAGACTGTAAAGCTTCATGACATGTTTCTTTTATCCATGTTGTCTGCTAATAGAACCCATCAAAACAACATCTTAGAATGCTCCCATCCAATTACTTCTAAGTAAACATTCCTTTAAGACATGCCTAAAGACTATACTTTCCATAGAAGCACCCCGCTAAAATTCTCATGATTCCCTATATATTTAATTCCATTTAATCTTGGACTGGTAATTGGTATCTATTCAATTAGAGTTGATTTCAAGCCTCTTCTTTCTTCTCTTTCTGCCTAGCTTTAAGTTAAGCTGCCATTCATATAAATTTCCATATCTTAGCAGTGAAAAATATAAGTTTCCTAATTCTATTAGTTAGGATTAAATAAGAATCTG